GGCGGCGCCGAGCCACGCCGCGCGGTGGGGGAGGGGGCCGCGGGCCGCTGGCCCCGCCCCGCGTCTGGCCGGCCGCGCCGAGTCCCAGCCTCGGTGTTCCTGTCTCAGCAATGGATCGCGTAATTACACCGATTACCAAAGCAATTACGCCGAATTTCCAAAGCAGGCGGCTGCGAAATTCCCAAATCCCTCTGCCCTCCGTGGAGTCCGGGAGAGCTCAGGACCTTCTTCCTCCCAGTAACTGATTTGACGTCGCGAGTGTTAATTCGTGATTAGCGTCGATCCTCGTGGGTGTTAGTGTTGGAATGCGATCTCTGTGAGAAGGAAGGTTCTGTTTATTGCAATATTGTGCTTTATGTCGTGGACTGTTTATTAGGCTGTATTCTACACATCCTTTACTCGATTATCCATCAAATAAAGAAATAGTGTTTGGACATATCTAGCCCTCAAGTTGGGGGGGGGCGGCGGCACCATATCCTTTCATCAGTGCACCTGAGTTTGGGCCTCTGAAGCCCAAAGAGGACATGGTTCTTCCAAAGAAGATAATTTTAGCTTTTTCAGCATTTTTAACTGCTATTCACTACCTGTAAGACAAGGTGCAAGTAATAGTCTTTCAGAGCTCCCTTTCCTTGGGGAAAAAAAAGTACTTGCTTCAAAAAGTTATGATTATTCAAATAGATAATCCACATAAAAGGACTTAAAGAAGTTTGTGGAAAAGTGGAATTTTATTTTAAGTACGATTTTATTTTGCTGCAAACATTTTTGAAATATATACGTAGTCCCCAACCCAGGTGTTTTGTTTTGTTTTGTTTTGTTTTGTTTTGTTTTGTTTTTTGTTATACGGAGCGTGCGCTCACCAGAAAGAGAGACACCGACACAGAAAGTGAGAAATCACCCCCCAGCACGGATGGCCACACTGCAATCCCTTCTCCTCCATCCTCCTCTCAGGATCTTGGGCACGCACGCACACTCACCCGGCATTAATTTAAGCCACCGGGTCCAGGACTCGAACCTCAGTCAACTACCTGGGAGTCCAGTGACATAGCTATTATGCTAACTACTGGTCCCCATACATACTTTTTTCATAGTTTATCCATGAACTCATTGAAGACCCCCCCCTTCTGCATTGGTACCAACCAGCACCTGAAATAATGGGGAAAAAAAATAAAATTATTAAAATACTGGTTGCATAATATGTTCTTGCTAAATTTTTTTTCCCCCAAAGACCAGCTTTTCTATAAACTACAGCAGAGGGAGACCTATATCACCCTCAAAAAGGAAAGTTTATTGACAGCCACATTGGCTGAGTCTTGCCAGAGTGCTACATACGCTTAGATTTTTCTCCAGGCTAAAAATATCAGAGAGAGGGGGGCCAGCAGGTGGTGTGGTGGTTAAGGGCACTGGACTGCTACAGGGCCAACCGAGGTTCAAGTCCTGGATCTGGCAGTTTGGTTTCGCTTTCTCTCCCTCTCCCCCTCCCTGACCAAATTAAAATAAATAAAGTTAAATAATATAATTCTTTTTTTTTTCCTTTTTTTTTTTTTCTTGGAAAGGTTTTTGCTATAGGGCATGTGCGCTCGCCAGAAAGACAGAGAGAGACAGAGAGAAAGCGAGAAATCACCCCCCGGGGGGATGTCCACGCTACAATCCCTTCTCCTCCATTCTCCTCTTGGGATCTTTGGGCACGCATGCAATGTGCCCGGCGTGAGTTTAAGCCACCAGGTCCGGGACTTGAACCGCGGTCGACTACATGGTAGTCCAATAACATAGCCATTATGCTAACTGCTGGTCCCAATAAAATAATTCTTTAAAAAAAAAATAGAGAGGAAGTTGCTCCTACAAGAACTACAAATGAAAACCTTTTGTAGAAGTAACATTTATTTGTTTCTTAACATTTGTGTTTTATTGAGTTTCTTCTGTGTACTTGACACTTTAAGGCATACAGATTTGTAATGGATTTAGTCAGTCAATGCTTTTATTTAATTTAGAAGTGGGGGAAAATAGAGAGTCAGAGGTAATCCTCACAAAGTAGAATGTGAAAAATGCCAGAAAAGAGATAAAAAATTATGAGTGTATGGAATAAAGGGATGTTCCTTGGCTTAGAGAGAAATATGATTTCTGTCTTTAAAGAAGGTATTTTGTACATTGTACATATTTAGCCTGCATTTGTTGAAACAGTAAAATAGTAAGCAGATGTGTGTGGTAATAGGTAGGGTTTCTTGGTTTGCAGCAACAGAAACTCATTGAGATTAAAGTTTTATAGGAAAGAGCAGTGAAAGCAGAAGTAAACAACTGAACACCCTGGGGATAAGAATCTCAACAGTTGGAGCTCATGGACCAAATTCTTTGACCGATGAATGCGACTACATTCTGTCTTTATATGTCTTACCTCAAGATTCAGATTTTTTTTTAAACTTAATTTAATTTTATTTATTCATTCATTTATTTTAATTTGACCAGAGGGAGACAGACTCATACACACGCACACACACACACACACACACACAGAGAGAGAGAGAGAAAGTGAGAAAGCAAGCCGCCAGGTTTGGGACTCAAACTGTGGTTGGCCATGTGGGAGTGTCCAGTGCCTTAATCACCATGCCATGTGCTGGTCCCAAGATCCAGATTTTTATAAGAAGAAATCTGGTTGTTTTGGCTTCTGTGGGGGTGAGGGATGGAGTATTGTGATTGGAGACTTCATCAGTATCATAGGAATTGTAGAAGCATTGTTCTCCAAAGGGTTAAGGAGGGAAGTGATGCTGGGCAGAGAAAGCCAGCAGTTGTTTATTAGTGATGTGTAATATAGAGGATTCACTATGAGCAGGCACTGTACTACATTATTTACATGGATTACCATGTTTTATTATGACATTTAATTCTCACAACTCTGGATGTTAGCTACTATTACATTATACTTATTTTAAAGAGGAGGAGGGGCCAGCAGATGGTGTAGCTGGACTCCCATGTGACCATCTACGGTTGAGTCCCACACCTGGTAGTTTGAAACTCATGTTGGGCGCTTGTGCATGCATGCCCTAGATCCTGGGAGGAGAATGGAGAGGGGATTGTGGTGAGGCCACTCCCCTGGGGCTGATTTCTTGCTTTTCTCTTACTATCTACCTACTTCTCTTCTCTTCTCTTCTCTTCTCTTCTCTTCTCTTCTCTTCTCTTCTCCCCTCCCTCCTGCTCTCCCTCTCTCTTTCTCTCTCTCTCCCTCTCTCTCTCTCTTTCTCTCGTGCCCTAAGGCAAAAGCCTCTGAAAAAAATAAAATAAAATAAAGAGGAGGAAAATTTTGCTCAGCATTTCAAAGCTAGGGTATCAGAAAGCTAAGAATGTTGCTTATCTTCTATCTTATCCCTTTGAATTATTTTCTGACTTGTGTGCCACTTGTGTTTGTTCATAGGAGGCCATCAAGCTTTGGTGTATGTGTTGCCAGTTCTGAAGTCTTAAAGAAGCTCTGTACTGAGGAACCTCAAAGCAGCAGTCTTTGCCAGTTAGGGAATGGACCGCTTGGGTTCCTTTAGCAGTAAGTACAGTGGGAACAAGTTTCAGGTGAATGAATATTAGTAGTAAACTGAGATAGAAGTTGATCAAGGAAAAAGAAAAAGCACTTTTGAAGTAAAGCAATAAATTCCTATGAATCTGATCTTAAAGGACTTATAAGAGTATCAAATGAAAATCAGTATGTATTTATTGTCCACTGAACACATGACACAAACATATCACTCTGGGTCTCCGGAGACAACAAAGCTAAGGTAGACCAACCATAGTGTGATTAACCTATAGTGAGACCTTACAAAGCAGCGAAATTTCTCTTTGGAACATGTTCAGGTACCTTGATAAGAAATTACATCAATATTAGGATAAAGGAAATATCTGTCCCCCTTCAGTAGACTTTGTTCTAAGAATAAACCACAGCGAATTAAGATACATGTGTGATGAGACTTGCAGATGGTGGAATGGTTACATTGCTGGATTCCCACATAGTCGGCCACGGTTCAAGTCCTGGACCCGGCTGTTTAAAACTCAGGCTGGGTGCATGTGCATATGTGGCCAAAATCCCAAGAGGAGAATGAAAGGGAAGGGATTGCGGCATGGCCATTCCCCCAAAGGGGGTGTGATTTCTCGCTTTCTTTATCTCTGTCTCTCCGACAGCGGGCGCACGCCATGTAGCAAAAAAATCTCTCTTAAGAAAACAAGATGTATGTGTGAAATAAGTTGAGGTAGTCACAACTACAGAAAGAAAAACTATACTGCTCTTTCTTGGATTCTGAAGATGTAAGACTTGGCAGAAATAGAAATACCTTTGTTAAATATTTTATGATGTCCCTGTGAGAAGAATTGCAAAGGTAGATTTGGGGTATTGTTTCCTTTTCAAGATGCCTCAAAGGAGTTCTAATGTACTCTTTCACCATACTCTTACACAAATTTAGGACAGGTTGGAATGTTTGAACACTTGTAATTCTACTCTCTCATTCTACTGAACCCTAATCTTGCACATGGCTTCCAGCCTTTTAGAACATTGTGTTGACTGCTGCGCCACAGCAGCTGGGCTAATCTCAGCATTCTTTTTTTTTTTTAAATTATTTTATTTAACTTTATGTATTCATTCATTTATTTATTTCAGTTTTACGAGAGAGGGATAGAGAGAGAGCAAGCTGCCAGGTCCAGGACTTGAGCTGTAGTCAGCCACGTGGGAGTCCAGCACCCTTAACCACCAAGCCACCTGCCAGCCCCAGCATTCTTTATAACAGTGTAAAATGGGAAACGACATAAACATGCACCAGTGAGAGGCGGTTAGATTAGTTCTTAACCTTGGGATACTCAGTGATTTCCTTTTATATATATTTTTTTCTTTTCTTTTTTTTTTGGAGAGATTTTCACTGTAGGGCGCATGCGCTCGCCAGACAGACAGAGAGAGACATAGAGACAGAAAGTGAGAAATCACCCCCTAGGGGGGATGGTCACGCCGCAATCCCTTCTCCATTCTCCTCTTGGAATCTTGGGCACACACAAACATGTGCCTGACGTGTTTCAAGCTGCCAGGTCTGGGATTTGAACCATGGTAGGCCATGTGTGAGTCCAGTGATGTAACTATTATGCCATCTCCTGGCCCTATCTTTTTATAATATTTTTAAGACCCCTCCTACTACTTGGAAATAAAATATGTAGACAATATATTCACACTCATGATTTAAAAAATAAAAAGAATTAATACTGCTTCAAGCCAGCTGATGGCATCATAGTTAAGGCAGGTGAATCCCACATGGTGGACAGCAGGGCTCGAGTCCCAGACCTGGTAGCTTGGGAAAAACAGTGGGCATGTGTGCATGCATTTCCAAAACCCCAAGGGGAAGAGGGAGAATGGATTCAATCTATCCATACCCCCGGAGGGTGCGTTCTTACTCTCCCCTATCCCTGTAATCCCTGCTCTGGCATGTGCACACACCCTATAACAAATTAAAAATAATAATAATGACACAACTTCAATGAAAGAAAGAAAAGAGAAGGAATTATTATTATATAATGTGATTTATAGTAAAATAATATCTATTATCTTTATACCTGGTTATGGTAGACATAATGACATAAGTAGTCAGATGCTTGTACCCATATATTAAATCACTGTTCATCTTACAACAAATCAGAATGATGCAAGTGTGTTATATTGATGACTCAGGAGGACAGCTTTGAATAATTTCTGGTAAAGTTCCAAACAAAACAGAGCAGTTTCCTCTGACTGTTGAAAATTTTTTGTTTAATATGTAATGTGGAATTAGGATTTGAGGTCATGCGGTTATGAGGTTTTTTAAATCTACTTGAATGTCTGGTGGGACATTTGAAAGTTGAACAGCACAGGGGTCAATTTTTCTGTTGTTGTATAGGAATGTCCTGAGCATTACAGAATATTTAAAATCCTTTGTATCTGTCTGTCTGCAAAATGCCAGGAGCACTCCCTAGTACTGTGGCACATGAAAAGGACCCGTCATTCCCGGTGGTACAGCAATACTTCAATGTCCCACAATGTTGAGGCCCCGTGGGAAGGTCCTGGGCTTGCTGCCTGACATCTTCTTGTACATGCCAGGGGTGTGCACGTGTTTTGGTGATCCTGGCTGGCTGAGGTTAGGGTGAATTAAGGATTGAAGACCCTCTTGGGGATGCCTGTCTCTTCCTCTCCCTTCCTTTTTCTCTCATGGAAGATACAAATTAATAAACTTTAAAAAAAAAAAAGGCACCTCCTCAGATTTCTAAAATGTCTTCCTAGGGGGTAGTTGAGAACCATTAGGTTAGATAGTCGATATATCCAATAAAAAGATTGAAGATCTATGAATACTGCCACAATAAGGTGTCTGTGATATTTTGTCAAGTGAAAAAATAAAACCAGGCTCTAAAATATCATATATAGTATCCCACTGCTGTTAAAATAAATATATACACATATACATAGAAGAAAGGCTGGAAAAATATTTCTCAAAGTGTTAATAGAACAATATATTGGGCTACTTTTACAAAGTAATTGCATAAAGGTCAGTGGCTGATAGGTTTTTGGGGTAAGTTTGAGGAAAAAATCAAGATTATATCATTAACAGGAAGTGAGGTAATCTGGTAAAGGTTGGCATATAGCAGTTAATATAAAACAGTTTTTGTTCTTTCGTGTTAAAATTTAAAATGGAAGAAGTGGAGCTCTCGTTGTTCCCGTATGTTTAAGTTAAAGCTATTGCCAGAAAGAGTGCATTTCTTTCTCCTTGTCTTCATTTAAAAATAAATAAAGAGAACAATAATCACTACTTGGAACAGAAAATGGTGCCTTGAAGAGCGTTTCTCAGATATTAGAGAGGAAAATGCAGTCACAGAATACGAGAAATCTTGCCCCAGGCTAAACAAATTAAATTCCTTCATCTTGGCTTCAAAGTCTTTGTTCTTTTAGACTCTTGTGGTTGATCACAGAGGACAATTTTGCTAGATTGCCCTGACTCTGGAGAGGTAGAATTTTGGGCACCCGAGGACACACATATTTGCATTTTTGTGATTTTAGAGTTTGGGCTATACTACTCTTTGCCTTAATATTTTTGAGTCATACTACCATCAAGGGAGCTGGAAGAAGTTCTGCTATGTTTTGTGCTTCCTGCAGGAGAAACAGAGGGAGCTTTCCTGGGATTAAATCCCAACTTAAGTATAAGGTAGAGTACCCTAAAACATATTTAAAGGGAATGCTTTTCCCCTACAACTTTTTATTATGAAGATGTTCAAACCTACAGAAAAATTGAAAGAATAATACAGTGTTTTTTGATACGCTTGCTGTGTACATGTAGTGATAGTTAACATTTTGTCAGATTTGCTTTATATATGTATGGGTTATCTAGGTATGTGTCCATTTTTCCCCTCCTGGAAAAATAGTTCCAGGTACCATGAAATAACCGGTTTAAACTTGTTTGTAAATTTCTCTGTAAGAGTCATCCTGACTTATATGCCATTTGAAGTAGCAGGACATTGTAGGAAGGAATGTGCCGTCCTGAAGTAATAAGGAGCAAATTTTATATTTTTCTTACTTGTAGTGAGTTCATTGGTCTCCCTAAACTTTGTAGGACAGCTTACCCACCACCTGTGTGGTCAGTTACATGTTTTCAGGGTCTTGCACTTAAGATAATCATGAGGGGCTTGAAGCTAATGTGTGTGTTTTCTCTTTGTTCTAGATGATCCCTCTGATAAGCCGCCTTGCCGGGGCTGTTCCTCCTACCTCATGGAGCCGTACATTAAGTGTGCTGAGTGTGGGCCACCTCCTTTTTTCCTTTGTTTACAGGTAACTCACTAAGGAGAGGCTTGCCTCCTTCAACCTAATTTTATGGATATAGTCATTCAGAGATTACTATTGATTACTCAGGAGGATCATACCTTATTAAATCTATTTCTTCTAGTCAGTCTGCCATTATGCATTTTACCAGTGTAAAGTTGAGGAACAGAGCAGATGGAGGAGACAGACTGTTGACTCTAACACATCTGTGTATCAGCCTAATGCTTAGCACTGTTTCTGCAAGTGGATTTGAAGTACTGGGACTATAGGAAACTGAAATGGAGGGTTACTCTTGTGGATGACACTTTATTATTGAAATGTGGTTTCTGTACAGGTGACAAACAAGGGAACAGACTGTTTTGTGGGTGATGATAGTAGTAATAATACTAATTACTAGTGCTGAACTCTGTGCCAGACACTATTCTGAGAACTTTATGTGAATTAATCGTTTTTTTTTTTTTTTTTTTTTTTTTTTTTTTTTTTGAGAGAGATTTTTGCTATAGGGCATGCACTTGCCAGAGAGACAGAGAAAGACAGCGAGAAATCACCCTTCAGTGGGGAAGGCTACATTGCATTTGCTTCTCCAGTTTCCTCTTGGGGTTTTGGTCATGCACACACACGTACCTGGAGTGAGCTTTAAGCTGCTGGTTCCAAGGCTTCAACCATGGTTGACTATGTGGGAATCCAGAAATGTAACCATTAAGCCATCTACTGGTCCCTATGTGAATTAATCTTTTAAGTCATCCCTACAACCCTATGCAGTAAATACAATTAGTATTTGTATTCTATAGGTGAAGCAACTCAGACAAAGAGAGGTTAAGTAACTTCCTCAAGGTCACACAACACCCCCATATTTTATCAGATACAAAATGTTATTGATTATGAGAAGAATGACAATTTCATCATTGTAAAAATGACCATTGAAAGCTGTGATACACTTTCATAAGATGAATTCTAATTTCAGGGTCTTTAAATTTGCTATAGGGCATATGTGCTTTCCAGAGAGAAAGAAAGAGAAAGCACCTTCTAGAGGGAGGATGACCACACTGTAATCCTTTCTCCTCCATTCTCTCTGAATTTTAGGCAGGCATGTATGCACACGCGTCCTGTGTGTTTTTCAAGCGGCCAGGTCCTGGTCTCAAACCACATAGTTGGCCATGTGGGATCCAGACACCTTAACCATCATGTCACCTGTCTGGCTCCCAGAGTTTTTGTTTGTTTGTTTGTTTGTTTGTTTTTAAATTACTTTATTTAAGTTTATTTATTTATTTTTAAATTTCACCAAAGAGGGACAGAAAGAGAAAGTGAGAAAGTAAGCCACCAGGTCCAGGATTTGAACTGCAGTTGGCTGTGTGGGAGTCCAGCACTCTTAACGACCACACCACCTACTGGCCCCTGTTTTTGTTTTCTTTAAAGAATTGCTTTATTTAACTTTATTTATTAATTCATGTGTTTATTTTAATTTGACCAGAGAGGGACAGAGTGAGAGAGAGGGAAAGTGAGAAAGCAAGTCACAAGATCTGGGACTTGAACTGCAGTCAACCATGTGGGAGTCCAGCACCCTTAACACCACGCCACCTGCTGGCCCCAGCTCCCAGAGTTTTAATGTGTGTATGTTTGTTTTGTTTTGTTTTTAATTTGCTATAGGGTGTTTGTGCTTGCTGTAGAGATAGAGAGGTAAAGTGAGAAAGCACCCTCCCAGGGGGATGGTCACATCATAACCCTTTCTCCTTCATTTCTCCTTTTGGAATTTTAGTCATGAGTACACACACACCTAGTATGTTTTACAAGCTGCTGGCTCCAGGCATGGTTTGCCTTATGGGACTCAGCCGCTTTAATCACCACACTACTGGCTGGCCTAAGAGTTTTAAAATATAAAAACATTATTTTTCTTAGAATTGCTGAAATATGGTAAGTATAGCACCTGTATTCAAATGTAGGTAGCCTAATTCCAGGGGTTTTGCTCTTGTCAAAGGAAGAGTAGTCCTAGGAAGAAGTCTTATTTTCAGAACGTCTTTTCTCTGTGAGGGTTTCTAAAGAGTGGTAATCATGAATACACTGTTGTACTACAGTGCAGACAAGATTATATGAGTTCTTCCTAAAAACTCTCATCAAAAGAGTACCCACAGACCATCTTCTATCCTTTAAGAAAACATTTTTAAAACTAGCATTTGTTAACTAAATTTTTCTTTCTTTGCAGTGTTTCACTCGAGGCTTTGAGTACAAGAAACATCAAAGTGATCATACTTACGAAATAATGGTAATGCTCAAGTTGTGGGGAATTTCTGTTAATTTATCAAGTATTATACTGGGAATTTGTTTTCTTCATCTCTAAGTATCTTTTTCCTTCTTTTCTAAATTTGGTAATTATTATTTAATAAAGTTTTTTTAAATTTTAATAAAGTTTTAGTAAAACTTTGTGATATACTCAGGTATTTCAGTACAAAAATAGCTTTATAGTCACTTTTTTTTTTCTTTTTTTGAGAAAGATTTTTCACTAGAGGGTACATGCACTTGATGGAGAGGCAGAGAGAGACAGAGAAATAGAAAGTAAGAAATTGCTCTTCAGAGAGGATGGCTGTGCCACAATCCTTTCTCCTCCATTCTCCTCTTAGGATTTTGGGCAAGTACACATGTGTACCTGGCATGAGTTTCAAGCCGTCAGGTCAGGGACTTGAACCATGGTCAACCATTTGGGAGTCCACTGCCTTAACTACTATACTGCTGACCTTCACTTTATTTTTTTAATTGTCAGAGGATGTGTGTATTCTCCAGAAAGCCAGAGAGAGAGAGAGAGAAAGCATCCCCTTCATGGGACATGGTCACTCCACAAGCCCTTACCTCTGTTTCTCCATCCCATCATGATTTTGGGCATGCATGTATGTGCACCTAAGAGTCCTCCCAACTGAGACGCAGAATCTGGGCAGCGTCTGAACACTCCGAGGGGGCACCTGCTCCGTGGCAGCTGTGCTCAGGCTGGAGCTGCAGGGCCGAGTGGAGGTTTCAGGAAACCGCGCGCAGAGTGGCCCCACAGGACCCTGCTCGACCCAAATGCCCAGGAGCTTGGGAAGGACGTTCCTCTTGTTCTCTCTGCCTCCCGACCCCAGACACCCTGTTCCCTCCCTTAGCCTTTCAGGGGAAAGACACAGAGCCCTGGCCGTCCCCTCTCAGCACCGACAAGCCCATCACCGAAGGGCCCACAATTAATTACCCACCATCACAGTGCGTTTAGCCTTCAATTTTCCTGCCGACCACAAGGATTAACTCAATCTGTGAGACTTCACTGGGCCATTTAAGGGAGCATCATAACTCTTTCTGTTCCCCAGAAATTGTAACCCGGACTCGGTTTTGTAATGCTAATTGCCTTATCTTCATAAATTCTACAGTCTTACATAATTTACCCGCATTGTAGCAGGATTTCCCAAGAATAAAAAAGCAGGTGCCGTCAATGGTAATTTGAATAAGAAAAGACATGTTAAGTGGTTCTTCTCTCACTAGTAATAGAAATTAATTAGCTTTGAGCGGCTTTGGAGGTTTTTGCATTTTTTGCTGTAACCTGTTATGTTTTCTAATTGTATGGAAAGAAGGTTTGATTTGATCACATTATTTGGTGACGGAGAGGCCTCTGTTTGGAGTCAAAGGTACAGGAACGGTGGCAGCCAGAGTGTGGGAAGTCCCGGGAGGCATGCGGGGAGTGTGGGCTTTACAGGAAGATAAACAGGAGTGCTGAACAAGGGCGAGCCACTGCCACTCGCTTGCTCTGTGACCCTGGACAAATCACTTCCCCTCTTTAAACTTCAGCTTTCGGGGCTGTGGGACAGGGTCAGGAACTGAACGGGAAGTGCAGAGGGAGCTGTTGGTCGCCTTAGCCCTGGAACCAGACCCACCTAGCTTGGAGTCCAGGTCCACCACTTCACTTGTTCTGTGGCTTTGCTAGATGTCTTTAACTTCAAGAAACGTAAAATGCTATTTCAACACAAAAATGCTAAAGCAACACAAAAATGTATTATCTCACATGAAAACACTAGAGCAAATGCAGGCTGCAGGGTGTACAATTAAATGGTGGATCGATATCATCAAAACTAGGTCTACTGTCTTACTTGGCCCTACTCAACATTGGCTTTCTCCTTACCTAGGTACTCCCTTCCCTGGTGAGATTATACACTTCCTGGTTCACAGTGAGCCACAGAGCGAGTGAGCCTCCCCTCCTCCTATGGGATAGAAAACCTTCCCTTCAGTCTGCCTGAGCCAATTACCCGCATGCCCTCCCCTGGAGCAATAATTACTTCTAGGAGAAGGTCACTCGTGGACCATCAGACTGATCAGTACCTGTGTTTACAGAGCTGGGATGGGCCCTGCTTCTCCCCTCATCATGGGGCAGGTATTCTATTAGGAAGGAACGAGGACATGGATGAGGAATAAGCCACTAGTGGTGGCTCCACTGGCAGGTGCACCGCACAGTATAGACACACCACACTGTAAGAGGGGACTCCAATGACCTTGGTCCTCTGAGCGCCGTTCTTTGCACCATGAGGACAATAAAAGCACACCTCATAAGGTCATGGTGAGGGTTTCCTTGCACTGATCCAAAGCAACATAGGCTTTTCACAGGCTCCAGCTTTCCCCTCCTCCTTTCTTTTCTCTTTCCTTAAACGCAATTCTCTAGGAAGTTATTCAAAGACACTCTCCGGACTTCGGAAGGACTAAACACAAAGGGGAAAGGAGAAACTGTTTTCTTGAGTATGGTCTTTTAAGTAGCATCTTTTCCACCACAAAGAAACTATAATTATGGGAATATGTTGCCAAAGATGTACTTAAGGAGGCCCGCGGTGGCACAAGCAGGGGGGCAGTTCTGCGTCATCCCATGGGGCCACACGGGAGGCTCAGGTTCAGTTCCTGGCCCCATCTAAAACATGCTGGCCATAGTAGCACGCATCTTTGGTCCTCAGTGGGGCAGGAAGGATCATGACATGGTGAGACTCTGCCAAAAGTGCTTTTCTTTCTCCTCTCTCTCCCCTTCTCTCTCTCATTAAAATATATACATACCTATCTATCTATCTACCATCTGTCTATCTATCTATATAGAGCAATAATCAGGGAAAACTGACCATGACTATGACAAAAAGAAGCCCCCTATGGAAGCAGGGCCATGCCGATGTGGAAAAGGTAGTCACAGATTTATATATTGGCACCAACCAACAGCACAGACCCACCCGCTCACTCATGGATAGTCCACCTAGTCCTGGCTCCAGGTGGTGGGTGGTCCCTCAGCTAAAGACAAGCTGTCCCCGAAGCTCCTGCTTCTACCATTTTGAAACAGTTGAAGTCCAGGATAGTCAGACTGCATAAAAATGCAAGATCCAGCTATTTTCAGTACACACACAAAATGCATTTTAAATGTAAAGACGCAGGTTAAAAGGAAAAGACATACTATTCTCTTTCTTCTTCTTTTTTCTTTTTTTTGAGAGAGATTTTTGCTATAGGGCATGCACTTGCCAGAGAGACAGAGAAAGACAGCGAGAAATCACCCTTCAGTGGGGAAGGCTACATTGCATTTGCTTCTCCAGTTTCCTCTTGGGGTTTTGGTCATGCACACACACGTACCTGGAGTGAGCTTTAAGCTGCTGGTTCCAAGGCTTCAACCATGGTTGACTATGTGGGAATCCAGAAATGTAACCATTAAGCCATCTACTGGTCCCTATGTGAATTAATCTTTTAAGTCATCCCTACAACCCTATGCAGTAAATACAATTAGTATTTGTATTCTATAGGTGAAGCAACTCAGACAAAGAGAGGTTAAGTAACTTCCTCAAGGTCACACAACACCCCCATATTTTATCAGATACAAAATGTTATTGATTATGAGAAGAATGACAATTTCATCATTGTAAAAATGACCATTGAAAGCTGTGATACACTTTCATAAGATGAATTCTAATTTCAGGGTCTTTAAATTTGCTATAGGGCATATGTGCTTTCCAGAGAGAAAGAAAGAGAAAGCACCTTCTAGAGGGAGGATGACCACACTGTAATCCTTTCTCCTCCATTCTCTCTGAATTTTAGGCAGGCATGTATGCACACGCGTCCTGTGTGTTTTTCAAGCGGCCAGGTCCTGGTCTCAAACCACATAGTTGGCCATGTGGGATCCAGACACCTTAACCATCATGTCACCTGTCTGGCTCCCAGAGTTTTTGTTTGTTTGTTTGTTTGTTTGTTTTTAAATTACTTTATTTAAGTTTATTTATTTATTTTTAAATTTCACCAAAGAGGGACAGAAAGAGAAAGTGAGAAAGTAAGCCACCAGGTCCAGGATTTGAACTGCAGTTGGCTGTGTGGGAGTCCAGCACTCTTAACGACCACACCACCTACTGGCCCCTGTTTTTGTTTTCTTTAAAGAATTGCTTTATTTAACTTTATTTATTAATTCATGTGTTTATTTTAATTTGACCAGAGAGGGACAGAGTGAGAGAGAGGGAAAGTGAGAAAGCAAGTCACAAGATCTGGGACTTGAACTGCAGTCAACCATGTGGGAGTCCAGCACCCTTAACACCACGCCACCTGCTGGCCCCAGCTCCCAGAGTTTTAATGTGTGTATGTTTGTTTTGTTTTGTTTTTAATTTGCTATAGGGTGTTTGTGCTTGCTGTAGAGATAGAGAGGTAAAGTGAGAAAGCACCCTCCCAGGGGGATGGTCACATCATAACCCTTTCTCCTTCATTTCTCCTTTTGGAATTTTAGTCATGAGTACACACACACCTAGTATGTTTTACAAGCTGCTGGCTCCAGGCATGGTTTGCCTTATGGGACTCAGCCGCTTTAATCACCACACTACTGGCTGGCCTAAGAGTTTTAAAATATAAAAACATTATTTTTCTTAGAATTGCTGAAATATGGTAAGTATAGCACCTGTATTCAAATGTAGGTAGCCTAATTCCAGGGGTTTTGCTCTTGTCAAAGGAAGAGTAGTCCTAGGAAGAAGTCTTATTTTCAGAACGTCTTTTCTCTGTGAGGGTTTCTAAAGAGTGGTAATCATGAATACACTGTTGTACTACAGTGCAGACAAGATTATATGAGTTCTTCCTAAAAACTCTCATCAAAAGAGTACCCACAGACCATCTTCTATCCTTTAAGAAAACATTTTTAAAACTAGCATTTGTTAACTAAATTTTTCTTTCTTTGCAGTGTTTCACTCGAGGCTTTGAGTACAAGAAACATCAAAGTGATCATACTTACGAAATAATGGTAATGCTCAAGTTGTGGGG